GCGTGCGTGCGTGCGTGCGTGAAAGCGGAATTAGGCGCCGCAAGGCAACGGTGACTCTTCATCTTCGAAGCGAGAAATGTGTCGGACAAGGCGCATTCGCAGCGAGGAATGTGTGGTTGGGGCGTTGAGCGTGTTGTGGCGGCGGCGCCTGGCGGTAGACGCAGGCAGTGGGCGTGGCCTTGGCCTTGGCCCTGGCCTTGGCCTTGGCCCTGGCCCTGGCCCTGGCCCTCCAGCCAGCACTTTCCTCCGAACACAACCTGCGTGTATACGCATATCTCCTAGAGAGGTGGCACTTGTTTCGCCTTTTGCATTAACGCATCATTAAGTAATAAACAGCAAAAATAGAAGTAGTAATAAGTAAGAAAAACTAGTAAAATAGTAATACTATTTATAAACTTTAAAACCTACTCAATGTTCTGTGATTTTGTTAAGGCGTGGGCCAGTTTTCTTGCTGACGTCAAAACGGATGTGCTACTTCGTCATCGCAATGATAGTGGGACATGATGATGAAATTAGATTCCGGGTCCGAAATTTATGTATAATTAACGACCGGTCTTGAATTACAAATACAAAACTTTAACTTTTATAATAACAAATAATGAACTTTTTCTTATATTTTATGCTCTCTGAAAACTCAGAAAGTGTCATAAATTTTTGTGGTTGTATATTACGTCATTATTTTTTTTGTTTTGTTTTGTTGTGAAACGAAAGAGTATGATTGCGATACCAAGAAAATGTTCATGTAAGTCATCGTAATTCGCTAGAGATGGACAGAAAGAGACGGTAGGCCGGGGGCTGCTCGAGGATTACGAAGTAACTAGAACTTCCATGCAAATATCCGATAGTGTGAGGTATGACTTAAGTAAAGAGTAAAAAAAAGTATTTTCAATATGCCATTACTTTGTGCAACAAATTTAAAATGTAAATATTTAATGAAATATATTTTATATGAATTAGGTGGCCACGTTGTGCTAGGCGGTCCGTAGTCTCTCTCCGGCGCGAAAGGTGAACATTAGGATGTATTGGAATTTGAGGATTAATTGTGGAGCGGTGGTGGGGGCGGAGGGGCGCTTTTGCGGTGGCCCCCGCGCCGGATGCGCGCAGGTAGACTGGGAGCGCAGGTGCCCGGCCCCTGTCAGCCGCTCCTCGCAAATCACAAAGACCCCCATTTCGCTCCACTTGGGCACTGGGCCACCCCCCGGCCCGCCGCTAGGCTCGTTTACGGCCAAAATCCCCCGGGCCCTCGCGGCGCTTCCTGGCCGCCTTCTTCCCCCGGCGAGGAAGGCGATGCTTGCGACTGCTACCTTTCCAGTAATAGTGAATGGTCAAAATAAATAGCTTTTTATAATTTCTCGAGCTCACTAAAGAGAAATCCCTGTGCCTTTCTCGGCGTTTAGGTGCTTGTAATTCTGAAGACGCTTATGAGTGGAGTTCATAAGAGATATATCTCCATTTCTGTTTGTTCTAGTTTTATTTAGCAATGTATATTTTTAAAATATTTCTCCATTACGCTGGAAAATATTATGGTCAAACATGTGTTGTTCAGTATTTGTCCTATGCAAACATCTAATTGTAATTTTGAAATGAAAGGCTGAATTATAATATTCGCAGGTACAAAATTTTGGAAATAAGCTCTTGAGTTGTGTGGTTGGCCGCGCGCGGAGGCTTGCTTGCGCTCGCGCGGCTGTGTGGAG